GATTCTGCAAACAATTTGTGAACGTTTGAACTCCCCCCAGCCTGTTGATTAGTATGATTAGTTGACAGTTGACCGTCCCAAGTATCTACTTGGAACAGTTGGTGAAATGGTGGTCATCGGTGGTTTCAGAGGAAAGCATGGCCTGCCCAGAGGCAGACAAATGAAACTGAACACCACGTGATATTGAAGCAGATGTGGGATCCGAAGTCCTGGAGGATCCGAGCATTTGCACTCAACACGGCATGAGATTTTGCGTGGCTTCTTTTGCTTCTGGCCACTCACACACTCTCGCCAAAGAACGAAGTGCACCTTACCTTTTCTTCAACGACTGAGGACACAATGGTAATCAGGCAAGCATCCTCAAGTAGGCCAACATTTTTTAGGTAATGCGACCCACAGCTGCAGGCTCACCCTTGGCCTTGGTCTATCAACCTTTGGCAGTCGGTGGCACAGATCTCAGTGATGTTGTGGCTTCAGGATGGCATTATTGTGAATGCGTTTAATCAATGTTTATTTTGTTTGCTTAACCAATGTTTTATCAATGTTTATATTGTTGGCATCAGTGTTTTTAATTATGTCTTTACACCTGTGAATCCGGGCATTGAAAGAATTGCTCTATTGGCTACCCTTCACCTCGGAGAAATCATGTGCCTGGCGACTGGGCTGAAGCCTCTCAATCTCCCCGGAAAAGAAACGCCTGCCTTGTGAGACGAAACCTCGAGTTCCAAAGAGAAAGCATCTGGAACTGGACTCCACGTGAAAGACTGGAGTTGAACCATGTATGGAATATATATATATATATATATATGTGCCCACGCTCACCCCGACGCTCAGAGCACGACCTCAAAGGAAGTACATAGGTCATGAATGGATGGTCTGAAATATAAGATCAATAAGTGACTTCCTTTGGACATTCCATGCCTTCCTGGCCTTTGTTGAGTCCCACGTGATCACGGCGGCGGTGGTGATGCCCCTGGCTGGCCTGGGGCTAGGTGCACTTGGCTTGTTTTGGGTGTTCAGCAGACGGCCGGGTGCATCAGGATCAGGGCTTCGCCAGGTATAGTTCAGCAGAAACGAGTTGCCTCTGTGATTTTTGCCGGAGTGTGGACACTTGGGGGGCGTGGCTGCGTAGAGGATCCGAACTCTGACACCGATGATATAAGCCTTTTGTTGATGGGATTTGGATCGCTGTAAGGCGTTGCGTAAATTTCGCCTATAGCTCTTTGCAATCAGCCGGTTCTTTGCTGCCCGGTTTTTGTGCGGCACTTAATTGTTTCGGTGGTTGAGGTGGCGAGTTGCAGGCCTGCAGAATAATTAGGAGAATTCCATCATGATTGAACTATTGAATCATGATTGAGCAGCAAATCAGATGGGACCAGAAGCAGCAACAAGATCCCCCTGATGGATACTCAACTGGTTACTGATTAGAGCTTTGAGAGGTGGAGTGCCCAACAAGGGTGGCCTAGGAGTTCAAGGAGCATCGCCGAGGTCCCATGCAGTCTGAGAGCCTTGCCCCGCTAGGTTGATCCCGAAGGTTCGCAAGATCATGGCTCCTTCGGAACCCCAAAACTCTTGCAACGCCTCCTGCAGATGTCGGTTCGCCCTGGTTCGCCGGACGTCAGGGCACCTCCTTTCTCGTTTGGCTGTGGCACTCTCCTGCGGCACTGTGAGCCGGACGCCGCTTCGGATGGAGTGGATCGGTGCATGTTGGAAGCCTCATTCATCCCTTGTTCCTCCATGTTCCTCCCATTTACCCGTTGGCATGCATCCAGAAAGCCCAAGCGAATCCACCTTTTTCCTTTGAGTTGTAAGTCAGTACAATCAAAACGCTTCGTTATTGATGCCCTCTTCGCGGGATACGGTCAGTAACTATGAAGCTTCCATGTGAGGTGTGCATAAGTACAATTTCCACTGGATTCGTCACCCAACGTTGGAGGCCAGCTAGATGTCCATCCCTTTTGGAGGTGTCATGTTTAACTGGGGATGTTATTCTGTCGGGATATTGGGTCTAGCTGGAGGGACAAGACCATAGTTGCTCTTGATGGATGACAACGATTGGTGCAAATGTTTGTCTATCAATTAACTTGTTGCTTGCAAGGCTTTTCGTCATCCAATGTCCAGCTGTTGCTTTCCTCGCAACACTCGACTTTGACAGACTTAGGCACCTGAACACCACTGTCTTGTGGAGGAAGCTAGGAAGCTAGGGCTTGTCTTCCTTGCATGTCCATGCCATCAGGGTCTATGTGAATCACTCTTCCCGGGTGTCACTCGCATGGCCTTTTTGGCCCCGGCTTCGGCCGAACGGCCGTTGGTCCGCGTCCCTCGGCCCAGGAATGTGCTCCGTCCCTCGGAGGGGAACCTCGCGGGACGCGCGGAAACGCCCGGGGGAACGGTGGATGGCAGCCCGTCGTTTGACCGGACGTGCTGAGCTTTTGCAGTTTTGGCAGGTTTGGGGATTGGCAGTTTGGGACCAGTAGGTTATGCGGATGCTGAGGAAACAAATACCTGTCAGGTCAATCTTGTGAGCTCCCACTACGTTTGCACTTGATCAGCGCAGCATTTTCGTGCTGTTGGAAGGCATCGTCCTCATCCTTGAGCAACACTTGCATGGCAGAAGCTACCTCTCATGCAGCTTGGCTGCATTTGCACGGGAACCAAGCCATCCAAAACAAAGTATTTATATAATTAGAGCAAAAAGATCTGCATGCCCCAGATCAGCACTTTGAAACTGCTAAGCTCTCGTGCCCAGTTGTATGTGCCCTGTGCCCCCACCTCAAAAATTATACAGTATACAAAAAGCTATTAGAAACAAGTGCCACGCTAGTAGTAACAGGATGTAACAGGTGCCTCACTAGTAGTAACCAGAAGCTACTAATTACAATTAATAGCTTCTTGTTACTACTAGTAAGGCACCTGTTACTACTAGCGTGGCACTTGTTACTAATTTACACTATGTACACTGCGTGGAACATGGTGGTTGTGACTTGCGGGATCTGAAGACGGACACCCAAACCCATGCTAGACGGAGATCACCTTGGACACCTTTAAACCAAGGGGTTTGAGATGCCAGGCAGGAAGGACCTGGATTTGCAGCAAATTCCCAGCCTGGAGGCGTGGAGGGCAGCGGGCATCACATGTTCTTTTTTTCCAGATCCGGGATCAACACGATGTACATTAGGGGGTGGGCACCTTAGACATATATATATATATATATGTGCCCCCAGCAATGGTGAATATCAAGATGTAAAGCAAGGCCTTGTGTGACACCGGGTCTTCCGCTAGTAGGTTGCAGGCCATCGCTCTTAGGGAGGCCATCGCTAGTAGGTGGGAGGCTATTGCTAGAGCATCGAAGAGACTCCGGCATCACCTGCTGGGGACGGTCCGATCGTCCGATGTGAAGGCATCACCTTTGAGCCACCAAAAGGTACCAAAACTGAGGAATCTTGAGCAATGAACGCTCGCACTGAAACATCCGAGGTTGCGTTGATGCATGTTCAGTTTGCCAAGGAAATGCTTACCGAGGTTTTCGAACAGATCCGACCAATCCGAGAAGACGAAACGTCACAGGATGGACCTGGGATGGGACACCTAGTCACCTACGTACCGATGCAGTAAACGACCGCAAAGCCTGCACAACCGGGGGCCGAGCCATTCTATAGATCCGACCCACGTCATGCAAGACATCACCCACGTCGTTCACGACAAGTTGTGGCCCTGTTCCGGGGAAAAAACACACCCTTCTGACATCTTCTGACGTTGGCTGTTTGCCAGGCCAAAGCGAAGGGAACTAGGTCCACCTGTGACACTTTGGAGGTGAAAGCCGAACGGGTGTCAATGTGATTTGGCCGTTTGGGCCCTTTCTTTTGCGTACATGTGGATGTGACAGGAATGTGCGCAGTTGGGGAGAACATGGGAGAACTCAAAAGATGTAGCAGATTTGGTTAGTTTCATTCGAGCAATCGTGCTGACTTCAATAAGAGTGCTTTATTGCGATGTACACGTGCACCACCTTGGCGCTGTGCAAGCTTGGCTGCATGCATGCTCCAGACTGGCAACTGTTTCTCATTTTGATCTCAGCGATCAACATGACACTTTGTGCCTCCGAGGGGCCAAATTTACCAAGAGAAGTGGTTCATCCCACAATGTTTCCTAGAAAAGAGAGTAGTAATAACAAATAATATATATTTAAATGTATATATATATATATATTTATATGCATATGTACACTGTACATGTCCAAACTTGTAGACCATGCCAATTAGCAAACAAGAAACCGTGATGAACTACAGCACTACAGCACTTTGCCTTTTAGAGCCAATTTTTACATGACCCAGCCTCCTGATGGAGCCAAGTTTTGATGCGCTGGATTTCGCCTCATTTCATCACATCCCACGTGGCCCACATCCAATGTTGCATGTCATGTATTCAATAGTTTTTGCAGTATAATATATATGATATGGAGAACATGTTGCAAACTTCTTGGGACCTGGATTCAAGTTTCAAGCGCATCGATTCAATATCCGCTCATCAGCGGTGTTTCCTCGAACAATTTGGGATCACTAGTTTCCGCCACGTCCGTCTGCCAACGCAGTATAAGACCCTGGCGATGCCTAGCAGATGCCCAGCTTGCCAAGACGGTTTGCAGCTGGGCTGACACCTCTTGCGCAAGCCCTGTGGGCTAAAATGGACCACTTGCGAGGTGAGTGCCAAGTAAGTATGCACACAGTTTGATCTTCACCGTGAGTGATGGTGTTGGAGGCCATCGCTAGTAGGTTGCAGGGCACTACAACTCACGACTAGCGCGGCATGGGCAAATTATGGCAAATTGCTGAGGCTGATGACTGATGAATCAAAACTTGCATCCTTTGGGCGACGTGTAGCATGTTTGAACTACTGTATTACGATCAACTGCTAATGACAAGTCTATTGACGCATTTTCTAAGGAGCTGACTATCGCTTGTGACCATCAAGTCGTAGATTCAACTACCATGTTGCTGTAGGCATTGATTTTGCCGTGTCCTCAGTGCAGACAGCTGCAAACAGGGTGAGCTCGAACAGTGTTGCGGTAGGGCCAGTCAGTCCAAATCGTGGTTTGTTCACCGAAGGTTCGAAGTTGACCGTCAGCATGCTTTGACCGTCAAGTGAAGCGGCCATTCTTGTTCGTCCCAGGAGCTTCCTAGAACCGAGTAGCCTAGCACCGTGCCTCCGCGGCAGCACGGCCTTTGCCGAGGCCTGAGACTCTTCAGAGACTCCGCTTGGACTTGGCCAAGTGTGTGGGGACACCCGGGATGAGGAGGCCTTCTGCAGCTCACTGGGATGGGGTTTGTGCGTTTCATCTCGCCATGGTGAAATATGATGAATGGGGTTTGTGCTTAGAGATCTTAGAGAATCAGAGGGAAGGAAACATCAGTAGCCAGCGTAGGAGCACCGATTCTGCAGTTTGGCATTTTCTCATGTTGATTCATTTGGGCCGCTGAATCCAAGAGATCCAAAACATGTTAGAGGTGGCACGATGGGTTTATGGCGGTTTATGGCTGCCCTTCGGGTTCTGCAAAGAATGCCTGGCTAGAAGTGATGCCCTGACAGAAGAGCCTTTAAAACATGGTTTAATGATGTTTAATGTATACCTTAAATGGTGTGAGCTGTCATGAAAGCTATATAGTGGGTGCATGTGGGTGCAGAACCATCCTTTAACAGGCCCCAGACCATCCTCTGATGGGCTCTGTGCCCATCCTCGTTCGGCCTCGTTCCTCTTTCCATCGACTCAGGAAGTAGGTCCTGAAGGACTTCGAGGCTCGGGAGGGCAAATGCTCAACCCATGCGGTGCCCGAGAGCCCGAGAGCTCGAGAATCGGGTTCAAGCGATGAACCCATGCCATGCAATGCCATGCATCGATTCGAAATACAGATTCCTACCCTATGTGACACCCATGGGACAAATCCGAGTTCACTCCCACACCTCACTTCGCAATCAGCAAGCCATTTGTGGACTCGCACGGACGAGAGCACGGGGGCGCACGGAGAGCCCTTGAACCCGCGCATGTGATGCATTGCGGCGGGAATGTTTTGGACAGGTACTAGTAGCAGGTGATCGTCCTTCTCTGGTTTGTCCCACCAAGCACGACGATCGCTGCCCCGCGACCCGACCCTGAAACACGCATTTCTGAAACACGCGGCCGCCAAGGCCGCGCGGCCATGGATGTTTCCAACAGAACCTCCCGGTTCACGCGGTCCTTTGTTTTTGTTTGCATATGATTGGATTAAGGGATGCAAACGAAGAGATTCATCGCTAGCTTGCAGCTTTGATTCCGAAAACGGTTGGACGTGGACCTCCCAGCTTGGCTTGGGGTGGATGGTGGCAATTCCGAATATGCAATTGGAAAGAGATCCAGTCCAAAACCATCCAAAACCATCCTTCAACTACTACAAGGTTGTCGATTCATATCGAACCAAGTCAAGGGTGGACTGGGGATCCAGTCCAACTGGACCATCCCAGGCCTTAGGCTGCCTCCTCGCATCAGCTCCTTGCAGCTGGCCCCTTGGAGATCTTGGCCGGCCCCATCCAGCATGCCTCCAATACCTGTTTCAGGTCTCCAAGTGCACCAAGGTTTGGGGAAGGATCAAACGGATTATATAAAGCATATTGAAGCGCTCTCGGCGCGGCAACCTATATATGGCGATCTCACTGAAGATCATCATGAAAAGAGGCAAATGGTAGAAGATAGAAGGACACTTCGGTGAGGTGAGGTGATTCATTCTTCTTTTGCACTTGACAAGACGAGCCCCACACGCCTGAGCGGCACGTGACGGACTTCCAACAAAATCACCTGCTTCCGGCTTCTCGTGCGCTTCTGTGTTGGTCGAATCCGCTTCTTTCGCTTCTCGCTGGCGACAGCGCTAAGGATCTGACCATGACAGCTCTGGGGCTTGACAGCCTCAAGGCGCCGCCAGACTGGCCTCCGGACTGGTGCGGCGTAGGCCTTGCGCGCGTAGGCCTTGCTTGCGAAGCAGTGTGAAGATGCAGGAGGTGGCTCGCGAAGAGGTGTGATGCGGTTCTATTTCATCCCAGCAGGTATAGTCTTTAACCTAGAAACAATAAGCTACTAGGAACAAGTGCATCCCTACTAGTAACAAGTGCCTTACTACTAGGAACAAGAAGCTAGTAGACACATGTAGAAACAATATATAAATAGAAACTGGGCACACTGGACCAGAGCAGCTGCGCTTGTTGTGAACCCCTGCATTGTTTCTCAGCCACTAGCACACGCACAGACTCCCGTCCGAGGCCTTTCTTCTTACCTTACCAAAGTCGTTGCAGGCGAAAATGCAGCGCGTCCGGTGTTGCTGGTCCTGCTCAACAGAAAGACTAGGTGGTGGGTTCAGTGTGGCTGCCAGCCTTGGAAACTGTTTCTACTGTATATTATGTCTTAATGCAACCAGGCTTTCTTCGGCTAACATTAGGCCGCAAGAGTCTCCAGAGCAGTTTCGGTGCTTTTCCCTTTTGAAGAGATCCATCCCACTTCAAAGACCCTCGACGTCTCAGAGGTGGGATCAAAAGCATCATGAAAAGTAATGAATGACCTCCAATAAGCACGATGGCCTCCACCCTAACAGCGACAACCAACCTACTAGAGGTGGGATCAAAAGAATCATGAATGAATGAACAATTTTTTGGGCAAAAGCTCAAAAGACCAGCTCGTGCTGGAAAACCGACCCTTTCATACGTCGACGTCACGCTGATTTGGTGGGGACATACAAGGTAGAGCATTCCCCGTAATTCCAACCCTCCTGGAGGTACTGGAGATGAATCTCACTGGCTGCAAGGCAAGCATGCGGAGATGAGAGGATTCCATCAAAGGTTCATGACGTGAAGGCCCTTTAGACTGAGTTCATGATGATGGGACTCACTTTCGCCCACCATCAAGGCAATTGAGCCTTGGAGCTGCTGTGCACAGTGTTTCTTGACCCCCAAGCATCTCGGAACCCCTTTCCATCGCCTTTGAGGTCAAGTACTCTAATTATACATAATATATGCTTATGCTATGATTTTTCCGCAAAATAGAGCGACCTGCCATGATCCAATCTTCCTTTTGACCTCAGGTGCCAGTGGCACAGATTTCGAACCTGGAGCAGGCGGGAAGTGGATGTACTCGACTACATGACACTCCAGATGTTGGCTAAAGTGTGGATTGTATGTATTTGTGTGTGTGTTTGTCAAGAGATGTCAAATGTGTAATTACATGCATAGATTTATAAATTGTATCCATAATACATATATGTTATGTATATTCTGTACCAGTGATATATACACATATATGCACATATGTGTGTTCGTGTTTTTGCTGCTTTGTTTGTTTTGCTGCTTTGCCCTAATGGTTGAACCCCAAAGGCCGCTGGACATTTCTGCTCGACCAGAAGCGATCCAGAAACGACCAGGTGGCCAGACAACGACTCAGCAATCTCACCAGCTGGCACCTCAGTCTTCAACGCCTGTTGAAGCCATCCGCGCTTGTTGGCGGGTCAAGATTGGCAAAGACAATGCAAGGAAACAAAAGCGAAATAGTTAGCTTCTAGCTCAGATTTGGGGGGATTGATCCTCGTAGCCTCATAGCAATCATAGCACAAAGTCTATTTGGCAATCAGCGTTGAAAGCTTTTTCCCACCTTGTGAGCCTATTTATTGATCCGCATTCTAGAAAGATGGAGAACTCTTGAAAAGACAGCAACGGCAGAGAACTCTTGAGGCGTGAGCTTTCTTGCATGATGTCACAGCGATGTCATGCTTGCGGAAAAATCATCCACAGTGCTTCGGCTGATGGGGTCCAGGCTTCGGCTCATGGAGTGCCTAAGCGGCTTACTGTTAAGATATTGTTTGCATGGCATTTCGGATAAGTGGAATCAGCCTACCTACGGAAGATAGATAGACAGATAGATAGATAGATAGAATTAGAATGAATTAGATATGTTATGCAGTTATGCAGTTATACATGGGTGGCTCGATGTTTCGCTCGGGGAAGGTTTGCCATCAGAGATCAGAGGTTGGAAGTTCCCAGTGATGTGTTTCTTTGATGATTCGTTTTGCCTATGAGTTTAGTTTTGCATTCCACTTCTCCAATGATACTTACCAACCCAATCTATCCTGGGTGTGCTTGTTGTCAGCGGGTAGAGTGCCCACAAAGGAGCCTTTGAGTCAATTGAGGCTTGTGGGGCCATAGGGTCAGGAATGCTGAGTTGGTGATGTTTGTTACTTTTTTGGACAGCACCTGGTACAGCCTTACTGCTACTGCCATTCAATGCTTTGATTGCAAGAACACAGGCCCATCCTTGCATGTCATCCAGCTTTTGTTCCACAGATCTGCTGTCCGCTTCGGCTGTGACCCATTGCTACCCGTCTTCCATCGCTTGATCTTATAGTAGGTAGCTCTCACTTGAGAGCTCTATGTATTGGCATTGTTCAGTTCGACCAGCGACGGAGCACATGACCACTGAACTCGATTCCATCGGAGAGCGACGGAGTCGATTCCATCACTTCGTCATGCAGAACAGACAGCAACGGCCGCCATGGCCCATGATATTGGATCTGCCCACAGCATGACTCATAGTTGAGACGAGCGGCATGTTCGTTTGTTCAAGACTCATGCAGCACATGCACACTTGTCTCATGCACACTTGTTGGCCAGCATGACCTGGATGTCGGTTTTTCCAGTCGGCGCATGATGCCTCATGTACAGTTAGCTTGCTTGCCCAAAGGGAGCGGATGTTGAGGGAGGACGAGCTGCAGGCCGAACGACCGAGAGCACTTGTTTGCTGGACAGTGCGGCATAGCACTTGTCGTCCCACACACGACTGTCGCATATAGAGAAACAGAATGGCGCGCATCGCTTCTAGCAGCTTCAAGATGTTTCTTTAGCGCAGCTGCATCAGTGTTGGGATGTGTTGGGTAAAAAGGTTAGCTCCAATACTTGTGCACACTGGACTTGCAAAATTGACATGGAATATACGGAATGCCCTGCCCACAACCGTGGGTTGTTGGCACTACAGAGTGGCGGGTCACTGTGAGATTCCCCAAGATTTCCTCCTGGCCAGTAGTAGCTTCCTGCTACTAGAAGTAATGCCCTTGTTACTAGTAGCTTCTTGCTACTACTGTAGTAGTAATGCCAGGAGCTACTAGTAGCTTCTTGCTACTGGTTAGTAACACCTCGGACTGTGGGCTGCGGGCGCCGTGCAGGCTGTTCCGGCAGATACTGCTGATGCGTCTCTTGACCGGAGAGCCGGAGAGCTCCAGGGCCAGGAGTAGGGCGGTTCCGCATGGAGGATGGATGCAGGATGCAGTGATTGTCCTTGTTAAGCCATGTTAAGCCAACGTGTTCGATCAGAGGGAACAACTTGCCCCTGTGCACCTTTATCCCTATTTGTCAATTCGGCATAGCACAAAGAGTTTCAAACCATTTTGTGATTCCGCTTGGATGAATGGCTCAAAGCGCTGATTTCTCAAGATGAGCAGGGTTCTCGCTCCGAGTTGGCCTTTCCTTCTGACCATTCTCCTTTCGGCCTCATGGACCTTCTTGGGCCACCTTGGCCTTCGGTCCGCGCCGTCTCGGGGAGATCTTCTGCAGAGACGAGCGTTGAAGCGCCTCACCAAGAAGGAAAAGGTCATGAAGACTGTGTCACGCATTAAGGAGGCGGGCGCCGGCCAGCTGAGCAACCGGCTCATCAAGAAACAGCTCAAGAGGGTGAACAAGATTGCGGAAGACGATGCATGGGTCAATGAGTTGCCTAACTGATCCTAACTGCAGTGATCCAAGGCTGGGGGGTGTTCTATTGCCATAGCTGCTGTGGTCGTTCTTAAAGGAAGAGTGAATGGGTGTGGCAGAAATTTATGTCACGTTTGATGCGTGCTTTCGGTGGCCCAAGACGTTACTTGGATAGGGGATTTTCTTTTGGAGGTATCGTCCTCATTTGTGCCAATGGTCTCTTCTCGCGCTCCACCCAGCAATGTTAGTTCCACCCAGCACAATCGGCCCACGCCTTCATGAACTTATCCACCTTCCAAAGGAAGACGTATATACATTCATAAGTGATATTCCGCAAGTGACCGCAACCTCGCAGAGAGGGAGCGAGAGAGAAGGTCCACCCCAGAAGGTGCCAAACAATGCCAAACAGCGTTTTTTAGTGGCTCACACACACAGCGTATCCACTTATATATATATATATATTTATTTACACATCAGTATGATATTTGCAAAAAGGATAGACAACTATAAATAAATACAATAAATACATATATTTAACAATCTATAATACAATACAGTATATGACTTTACATCAGATTTTGTGCTTGCTTTTAGTCCTCATGAGGACTCTCCCAATTCTCACCGACCGCGCCACGACGCCCAGGTTCCTCTCGTTCTCTCGGCCAATGCCGGTGGGCGGCGAGTTCATCATGCCAGCCGAGGTGGCGAAAGCAGCCTTAGAAGAAATCTATGGCGAGGGGCCGGACCTGCAGAAGCTCACCTGAACTAGGCTACCCTGGTGTGAGATCCACTTTGGGAACAACAGGAACTGAAAGACTGGCTACTTTGGGGAGGAGTCCCAGAAGAGCCTTCCACGGGTCAATCCCTCACTATTTGAACCCCACTTCGCTCGGAGGCATGCATAGATGAAGTGCTTCAAGCCATCCCAGTGCTCGGAGACATCGAAGAATCGTCAAATCCACAACTGGGAAGACTGGTTGTGTCAATGTTGTTAACGAAGACATTCCAAATCTCATGTTTCACTTTTGACATGATATCACAAGCCAATCATCCAGCTGGCCATATATGTCGATGTCCAAGGCCCACTAAAGGCAAATGAAATACACTGGGGTGCCAAAAGTTGCGCTTCTTGATTTCAAAAACATCACAAACCCTTTCCCCTTAGAATCCTACGTGCAACATGTCGACACCTCAGTTTGCGGTCAGATTTCCACACCTGAAAGCCTTATAAATATTATAAATTTAAACGGGTGTGGAAATCTGACCGTGCTGCACCTGCCACGCAAAATGGACGTGTTAATCCGATCCGCTGTAGACCGCAAGTGTCATGTTGGAACAGAGTAAGAAGCGTAAACTTTAGGGTTCTTGAAGGGTGCAGTTTGTGCTTTTAAGAAGGTGCTGGAAATAACATAAGTTCCATAATTTTGATATCAACTCGCTTGAAACATATTATATAACTTTGATTATATGTTTATTTGTTCTTAACTTTATAACAGGACAACGTTAATGTCGAACCTGACAACATTTCTCATGATTAGTTGTAAACACAAGGCTAATA